TCCCACAGGTGCAACGGTCTAAATCACATCACCCACTTTAAGATTTGCTGGATATGTGAAATTTGGTAGGATTGCTAGTCTTGGTCCCAAACAACCTAGACCATTTCCTAAAGTAAAATTATCCAAAAATAACCCAAAAATAATCAGGTGGGGGGCCACCCGATTTAACTATTTCTCCCCCCCACCATGTTATTCTTCTGGGAAATAGCATTGAAAGTTTCTGACTTTGGAATTGGGCATGCAATCATCATTTAACAAGAAGCTACAAAAATTCCCTGGAACGATAGTAAAAAAATATTCCCGAACAACCCAGCAAAATCAAAAATGTTACATTTTCCAATTTTAACACCCTAAAAATATTAATTTTTGAGAAAACATATTTTTCCTTAAATGGCGATATCTAAAAGTGGTAAGACTTAGCAAAGATTTTAGGGAATTTTCACAGTCATAAAATAAAAGTTATACAAAACCCTCTTGGGCGTCTCCAAAAATTGCCCCCTTCACCCCTCAAAACACCACATAGTTCTTACTTGTTTCAAATTGCTTTTATTTGGGACATGTTATAAACTATTTTTATTTTTTTGGACGAACAGGGGATTGTTTGAATATAAGCTAGCCTGTATCTATAGATTTTATTTATTTTTATAGATCTTATGTAAACAAACATAAGATATTCTTCAGATAAAGATTAGTCCTTTTGAAGAATTAGTTAGTAGGCCTATTAAAATTGTAATTTTGAATTTGTCGATCAGGGAAAGTTAAAAAAAATCATGGAATTGTCAGGGAAAAGTCAGGGAATTTTCAATGTGATTTCACTAGCCACCCTGAATATACTAAGCTATAATATTTTACCAAAAAATACACTTTACTAGTTTCCTTGTAGCAGCAAACCTAGGTACTCATTAAACCTAATGTTTTTTAAATAGATTTAATTAAAAATCAATTCAGATATATGGAAATTTGCTTGGTCGGCAGGTTTGCTGCAGTGGGGGTATTTCTCATAAAATGTTGGTTGTATTGACTTTATTATGCTTTTTTCATCCTAAGAAGCGTAGAAAATTACACCATACTTGTTTGGATCCCATAAATAAAAATGTTCCCAAAAATCACTACCCACAATTTTTAACCCCCCTAAAATGGTACTTCCACCCCCCCAATCACTAGAGACTCATCAGATTTCAAAATCTAATGGTAAGTACTACGTTTCCTGCAAGTTTCATGATTGGACTAATTTTTATGTTTTCTACTAGTCTTTTGGTAGAATTTTACCTGTACTAGTTTTATTTGTCATAAATCAATCCTGGAGGCAATGCTGAATAAATCTTTATTCATGTAGAATTGAAAATAATTATGAATGTTTTATTTTTTTTTTATGCAGTAATGGGTTTGCCGGTATGAATAATCTGATCATATGAAACATGTGTTAATAATTTGTCAGCTGATTGTAATTCAGTATTGTTATTTCATTGATTTTCTTTGTTTACATGTTGTTGTGCACAATTTGCATTTGTGGTTAAAGTGTGTTCCTTATGATATGTGTGGTTCAAAGGTTATGTGCTTAATCTGTGCCAGTAATTATTAGTGAGAAATTCTGGTGTGTGCGAATTTCATAACCATTATTTCCCTAGAGACCGTTGTATTTAACCACAACGGGCTCTGTTGCTAGTTCAGATATTGTGCCTAAAGTAAACTGACAGTGGCAGTAAAAAATGCTAATGTTTTGTGTATATAGTGTAAAGTTTTGTGTCTCTTGTGCCAGTTTGGACTCTTTCACGTTGAGGTAAGACTGCTATCTTCACAAAAAATCCTAAAACCTTAGGCCCTTGTGCTCTATGTTACATCCTTATGTTAAAATAAAAATATGTTTGAAACTGTGTATGATTTGGCTTATCTAATTTTCCTTTTAGTCTTATTAGTTCTGTTGTATTATTAATTAGTATAATTATCTATTTCTATAATTTTTGATGATTCACTCTTTGTCATTAAGGTCAACCAGCCAATCCGCGTAAGAGAGGAATTTGAGGAAAAAGTAATTTTTAATATTATAATTAAACTAATTATGCATTACTATGAGGTACAAGTTAAATTTAACGAATAAAAATAGTAAATTTGAATATTTTTATTTTTACTGCTTTTTTTGATGATTTGAAGTTGCTATACTGAAGACCCAGATTACTCTTTGTAAAAATGCTGAAGTTTTGAGTTCTCTGGTGGAGGCACCATAGTTCACTACCACATTAGACTGTGACCAGTTTGCAGTTGAGGTTATGCTCAAGTGACAACACCAAAATGAATGATCAGGCAAGATTCTTTATGAGTTTTTTAAAAAGTTCTAGAAAAGATGGTTGCATGTAACATCCGTTACACAAAAACATGAAAAAGTTATTTTTTTATATGAATGGTCTAAAGAAAAACAATGAAAGTTTCTAAAAGTAAGGTTAAGGTCTGCACATGTTGGTCTATACCCTAATATTTACATATTTATGTAAAAATACAATTTTATAAGAGGTTTAAATCTTGTAACATCCGTTACGTAACGGATGTTACAAGCCTTAAATAGGTGTTTCTGACTGCACTTACAAAGATTTTGTTTTAAATTCTTTGGCTGTTGTTTAACATAACCTCAAATTGTCTATGCTGCAACACAGACAGTGAAGGTTGCATGACAAATGTTTGCGAGAATTGTAAGACTGATGGGATGAAGACTATTCTAAATGAAAATACTGACTACTCCGTAACTGTAAAGTGGAAATCATGGCGGAAAGAGGATGGAAAATATCAAGTCATGGAAAATTCAACGCCTCTTCAAGATGTACTCGACAAAATAAATGAGACATTACCTGCTTTTAAATTTCACTGTTTTGTAAAAAATGTCCAATCTGAACATTTTGATCATATGAAAAACAACATTGATAAAGGGTCAGCAGTAATACAGATTGATTACGCAGAAAACTTTGCCCTAACATCTCAAGATGAGATACAAAGTGCCCATTGGTGCCATGCTCAGGTAACACTGTTTACCGCATGTATTTGGTATGAACATGGAGTAAAATCGTACGTTGTCGTTAGTGATGACATGTCACATACAAAGAAATGTAGCTGGGTTTTCTTAAAGGTGGTTGTTGATGATTTTAAGCAGTTTGAGTACGAAGAACTTAAAACCCTCTCAGTTTTCTCTGACAATTGCTCAGCCCAATTCAAGAGCAAGTATACAGTGTCCAATGTCTGTTACCTGGCTTCTGATTTAAACTTAACAGATGTTCAGTGGAGCTCTTTTGCAGCTGGACATGGCAAGGGAGCAGTAGATGCTATTGGTGGCCAGCTGAAGCGAAACATTTGGATACGAGTTAAGTCAAAATCAGTGATCTTAAATACACCACAAGACTTTTTCAATGCATGTCAGACATATTGCAACTTGGTTACAACCCTGTTTGTCTCAAAAGAAGATGTTGATGCAACCGGTGACAAGTTACTCAAAAAAAGATGGGAACAATCTGTTGAGATAATTGGAATACAAAAATACCATCATTTCCAGAAGCTAGATGATGATCATGTACTAGCTGCAGTAACATGCAGATCACCCATGCAAAAACATCAATCAAGGCTGAAAAATCAAAACAGAAGAAGACTCGTGTGAGATATTGTGATGTATATTCAACCAATTCAGAGGACGATTGCAGTAGTAGTATTGGGGGATTGGAAGAGCGACAAAAAGATGAGAGTGAAGTTGTAGAAACTTTGATTGACCAAGATGAGTTGGTAGAAGAAAGTCAAATTATCCCTGACAAATATGTTCTGGTAAAATACCACACTCACAGGAGCAATTTGTTTTATGCAGCCGTTTGCCAATCAGCTGTTACCGATGATGGGGAAGTTAGTGTTTTATTTCTGACCAGCCATGGAAAAAACGGACGAGTCTTTAAAGTTGGTGAAGAAGGAGAGAAATACATTGGTGTGGAGAAAGTAGTAAAAATTTTGCCAACTCCCAAAATAATAGCAGCAGGAGATAGGCTTTACTATGAGTTTACTCAACCTCTTCCAGTGTCGTAATTAAATACAGCTAGTAAACTAGACCACTGGGAACAGTTAAGTTCAATTTATTCAAATAATTATATTATTCATAACTGGTAAATAGTTTTAAGTAATTGTGAGTGTCAGTTCTATGTAAAACAAATCCAATGGTAAAACAATATTTTTAAATAAACAATTTAGTAACCTACTTTGTGTTAACTTATTACCAGCTGCTGCATTTGAACGTATTCTATTTATATAAGAACAATTAATGGTTTAAGGTTGTAATATGTGATAAATGTTAACAATAAATAAGTAATAATTTGCATATCTGACAAAAGAATTATGAATTTCATGTAAAAAGTTTAGTTTTGAAAGAACTAGCCAAATGTGAATAAAGTGTAACATCCGTTACAAAATAAGAGTAACATCCGTTACACTAGTAAATAATTATTTTAAAATTGCCTGATAATGTTTATTAAAACAAATAAGTGGAAATAAATACTATACTTACTTCAGTAAGCCTACATAATAGCATTTTTCATTTAAAATTTGAATAAAAGATGAACTGAATTTTCAATGGAATGACATGATTATTTTAGGCAGGTTCACAATTGTGTAACATCCGTTACGCGACAAAATAATTTTTTATTCGTTTATTCATCAATGAAACATACCCAAACTTACACTCCATATTAAGACCAACCTTATTTACCAACCAAAAGTCTTAAAATAGATAATTAATAATATTTAAAGTCAATATTAACATTTAATTAGTGAAAATGTAACATCCGTTACATACGGATTGGCTGCAAACTCGATAATTATTAGGTATCTGTCAAAGAATCTGTATCATGCGTAGAATCGAGCTTCAAAACCTAAGTTTTGGAATCGGTAACTGAATTGAGCAATTCTGGAATCGGCCCATCATCAGTCAATTAGTTTGTGTTTTGAAACATCCAAAATGTTGTATTATGTGAATGTAACAGGTACACAGACCAGGTCAGCAGTACAGTCAGACACAACTGAGGTATCTACTGGCTGCCTATCGTGTGGGCATGTTGGCCCTGGACACCTTGTCTCGCAGAGTACATGACGACAGACCCCAGGCCAAATACGCTCGTAACCCACCGTACGGAGAAGACGTCAAGTGGCTTCTCAGAGTTTCCAAAAAATTGGGTAAGAACAGACTAACTTTAATTGGGTCACTAAGTTATAGATTTTTTCAATATTGCCTATTGCATGTAAAACGTTTCTAACCAACGTGGTTCTTTGTCATGGGGGGATTCTCAAGAAGTCATTTATTTATGGATCTGAATTTTCAGCCTACTTTGAAAAAGTAATGCGTTTCCTCAATGGGGGTTGTCCTTGCAACCTTTGTGGTACCTAAACAAAAAATTCTGTGTACACTGTACAGCTGTTAATTCTAATACACCTGAACACTGTTTTTATTATGATGCTTTAAACCTATCTGATAAGTTCATTTTACTCAATACTAGATAATTTAAATCATGTTTCATCACTATAAGTGAGTTGTTTTTTCTGATGTTTCTTTGTGTAATGTGTGTGTACAGGGACTCAGTACTTGCACCAGTTGTGCATGTGTGCAGTGAACAGCATTGTGTCACCGTTTGTGCTCCATGACATGGCTGTGGAGGCAGCTCACTACCTCAGTCCAGAGAATCACTACTGTAACAACCCAGGGCTGGTGATGCAACACTTGCGCTCCACCCTTACACCTCTGGTCCACAAGTGTCAGCAAATGTGAGTAATTTTATCCAAAGGTTAATGTTGTGTTTCCGCAAGGTCCAGAAATAAGCCTGTGACCACTGGAGAAAAAAAAAACTGTATAGTCCTAGTTAACTTACTTTGGTTAGACTTACCTAGATCAATCACTTTGTGATTTCCTTTTATGAAGTCATTCTGTAGTGGTGGACAACCTCATTTTGTCGTGTCATAAATTTCACCACTCAACTTAGACCTAATTTGGTTATTTATATTTTAGTATAATAAGCTCAATTGCATTAATCAGATTGTTCCTTACTTTTGTTCTATATTTTTAATGTGCTTGTATGGATGGCTAATTATTTAACATGACTATGTTTCTGTTCTTTTGTTTACGTTGCAAAACCATGGCAGTGTGGCATCCCATGTTAAATTTTGAAATTTGTATATGCATATTATAGTGAAAAATAGATTTTCCTAGCTATAACTCTGATATAGTACTTTTTAGGCTATGGCCACACGGGCGTTTTTTCACGCGGTGAAATGTAGCTTATTTTCACGCTGCTTGATTTCCCGCTGTTGTATGCCACACGGGCGTTTTTTTTTACGCGGTAAAATGTAGCTTATTCTCACGCCGTTGAAGTCCAGGAGCGGGAAAATGCACTCGGAACCCGCTGTTGATTGACGAATTCACGTAATTATGTTGTATATCTTCCTAAAGGCCGAAATAGTAACCTTGTTTCTGACTAGTGAACAAGAAATATGAATGGTATATTAATTTTGGTACGGAAACAACACTAAAATTAGTTTATTTTGTTGATCTTTCATTTAATTATTTACATTTAGTACCAAAATAATATAATATAAATATTTTTATGGCTATCATCAGATCTTTGAATATTTTACTACATAAATGCCTCTTTACATTTTTTAGTCCAACTAAATTCCTTTCCTTTTAGTAACAAGTTATTAAGTAGTACAGTAAGGTCGACCTATGTTTGAGATAAAACGTGTAGGCATACCCAAAAATAGTTTACAATATCCTGGAAAAAATTATATCCATTTATCTTTATTTCAACTTGCTGGAACGACTTGATCAAAGCTGCGTGTTGCTCCCGCCCGTGTGGCCAGGGACAGAGCGTGAAAACAAGCTTCAAAAATGCACCCCAGTCCATCCTTCTGCGGGCCCGCGGCGGGTGATTTCGCAGACGTGCCGCATCTGCGTGAAAAAATGCTGCGTGTGGCATACCTCATTACATTTAATGCTGCTCATATTTCTCGCCTTTTTTCACGCTGCGTTCTTGCGTGAAAAAACGCCCGTGTGGCCGTAGCCTTAAGCAGAACTGAGCTATACTTACTTTTTTAAGCAGAACTGAGCTTTACCGTAAGTATAAAGGTTGTTCTTGGTGCCGATTCGGAGATCGAAATAACAAGTATACAAACTTTACTCATATTTTATATGGGATTTAACAGTCTTTGTTGATTACTGTAATATTGAAATACTAGAGACTGACTCTTATAACTAGAGATGGACTGGTACTGAAATTTCAGGAATTCTTTGGGAAAAAATATTCCTGATTTTCGGAATGGGATTTGATCCGATTGTGGGCGATTTTGCCGCTTGGTAAGTGACGATGACGCCGCTATCGCAAGAGATGTTCACGATAGTTCCCCGAACGCATCATTCTCATTTTGCATGGGTAATTTCGACGGTCGCGCCGTGACCGCGGAGTGATACCGACGATCCCGCCATGACCGCAAGTCATTTTAACGATCCTACCGAGACCATGAGTCATACCCTCGATCACGCCGTGACCTCGGACTCATACCGACGTTCCTGCTGTGACCGTGATTAATTTGAGCAAATTTCCCATATTGGGAATAAGCTATTACCGTAGTACTCATGGTAAGACCTGGACCCGGGACCCATTTACTTTTTCGTATTGAGGTCTCTTAGAGGCCAAAAACACCATCCGTTCAAATTAAAAAAAGGCTATAGTATATAGAGATATATATGTGTCCGTTAGCACGATAGCTCGAGCAAAAATTATCCGATTTTGATGAAATTTGGTACAAACGTGTAAACCTACATTTATTCGAACGAGTTCGCGAATCAGCATGATTGGACTATGGGAACAGGGGTTTATGCTGGGTTTTATGGTGTAAAAATAGGTTTTTCCCATTTTTAACCCTAAAAACACAAAATTTCACAATTTCTTTCCCAACCATTTTGTAGAGCTTAAAAAACAAATAATTTTTCCTACAGTCACCCGACAAAGTTGGCTTCCTTGTACTGTTTATAGTACAGAAAGCTGCTAATTGCTGCATATTTATACTTTGCCGTACGGTTTATACTTTGCCGCACATCAGGATTCCAACGAAACAACACAAAACAGCGTGGTTCCATTATGCACGTAATCCGTGTTCGCTTGGAAATAGGTTGGCAACACTTAAAGATAATTATACTATGATCAGCTGATTGACTATTATAACTACGATTTAACCTGTCATTTCGTGTTTATAGTTTCGGTATTTCTGAACTTTCTGGACTTTTCTTTTAAACGTTTTTAAAACCTTCCTACGATCTTAATAAACAAGAAAATACCTTTTAAGCATTTTTTTTAGGCGCGGAAACCACTTCAAATCACAAAAACATACGGAACTATATTCTCAAAACGCGGAGCACATTTCTTACCGAGGAAAAATAGCGGAGTGATATGGACCGCGGGTACTACTTTCTCTAGGGCACCATTTGTGTTGCCAGCTGAACCTAAAAACGTGTTGCATAGTGTTTGAAAGACTAATTATTTATATGCTTTATAGTGACTGTAGGAAAAATATAATGTGTAACACGAGTGAAAAAGGCCTTAGCTGCACTCGAGATCATTCCACACTCGCCTGCGGCTCGTGCGTAAACATTGCTCTCGTGTGCAGCAAAGTGCCACTTTCACCACTAGTTACACAAATAACTATAGTATATTGAAGTGTTATTATGCGCCTAATGGTTGTGGAGAAAATTCCCAAAAATTGTAAATTTTTTATTCTTATGGAGAATAAGTCAACTGTTGTAGTTTGCTTATTTATGAACAAATTTTGTTTGAATTTGGAAAATACATTCATTACTTAACTATTAAGATTTTACAACAAAAAACCTTTTTTTTACCCCCCCCCCCCCCCCCCCCCCACTGTTGCAGCAAACCTAAGTACTCTTTAAACTAATTATATTTAAAAAGGGAATAAAATTTGATATTTTTAAGGACACATTTTACTACAAATCCAATCAGGCAGATGGAAATTCGCTAAGTCTGCAGGTTTGCTGAGGCGGGGGTATTTATGATCACTTCATGACCACGAGTCATACTGGCCGACGATCACGCCGTGACCGTGAAGTCATTTCGACGATCACGCTGTGACTGCGGAATAATAACGACGGACGATTGCGCCGTGACCGCGAGTCATTTTGGCGATCACACCGTGACCGGGAGTTACAAGTTTCTATACCTGTAAATTTTTACCCATTTATTGTTTTTTTATAGATCAGTGCCTTAAATGGTAAAAATTGATTTTGTTTGTCTTTTTTGGTAACTGCAATACTCGAGACTTTCTTTTTATGCACAGGAAAAAATCAAATCCCGTCCCGAACTAAAAATTCAATCCCGCCCATCCCTACTTATAACTGAAACAGGCATTCATAAATTATTTCAACATTATGCATTTCAGGTACATCCAATGTATGCATCAGAAGTTATATCATCTATCACCAGCTGATCATGAGGACTTTGTAAACATTGTGTGTTCAGCCCGAGCAGCCTTCCAGATTACACCAGAAGGAAATGCTCAGTTCAAGGAGTGGTTACAGTCTATACGCAGGTTGGTAATGGTGCAACAGTATATTTAGCAGCTTTAAAATCTGTGTATTATCATTGTTGGCTTGAGGGATGCCTCAATCTTACTTCACATTTTTAATTTGGAAAATGCAATGTGTCAGACTAAACATTTTGGCTAGAAGTGGTGTGTGTATGTTTTAGCACATTCAAAGTACCTGCTGATCAACAGTGGGATAATTTTGGAGTTGATTTCTTAAACACAATTTTATGTTCATACTCTTACATGTAAACACAAATAACAAGCTATCTTTATGTCACTAGCCAAATACAATACGATAAAAGATAGTACTTACTGTCGGGGAAATAAATATGTGCACTCGAGTTTGAGCCTAAATATCTCTGAGATGAATTGTCCAATTTTTTTTAAACAGAAATTAAATATAAACTGGCTTAAGTAAACTTTACGTGGTAACAATTAGAAAAATTTCCGTTTACCAGAAAAATGTATATAGTTGAAAGATCCTAAAAAGTACCGGTTTTTAAGAAACTCTGCACTAACACCGAAGTTTAAAATTTAATTGTAAACAAACCACTGAGCCAATCTTTCGGAAATTTTTATGGCTTATTGGTAGGTTTATTGTTAACATTCCCATGCATTTTAAAGTTTTTACTCACAATAGTTTTTATGCTGCTGTTAATTTTTAAAACGTATGCTAACATCGTTAATAAGACGCTAAAAATTTTGTTCAAAATACCATCATGTTTGTCGTGACACAAGAAATAACACCAATATGTCAGATTTATAATGCGAACAAAGGTGTTTTTTAAACAGATTTATATTTGTAAACAAAAATTTCTCCCGCGACTGGCAGCGGGCCGCCTGGTGTTTGTACGATATTTCCCAGCAGGGCGGGAGCGCGTGCTCTGCGACGTTGCCGATGTGTACCTGGCCACCACACTGACATTGCACGGTATTCACTCGTGAATAGATGTTAAAAGTGTAAAAATCTAAGACGAACTGGTTAGCTTGGTTAGTCATCTCTCATAGCGACCATAGTACAAGAAAGGGGGGAGCTAATGTGTACATTCCATTACTCATTGGATATTCCAGCTTAACACAACACTTTCCGGAAAGGGTGATGACTGCTCAGATTTCTACTATCTGTGGTTTATTTTTATTTAAAAGTGGCAAATTGAAGAAACCATTAAATAAATCCTGGTGGAAAATATTTACTTGGAATTTAGCTGTTATAATTTTTTAACAAGCTTAGTGAACTAATCAACACATGTGAATACCGTGCAATGTCAGTGTGGTGGTCAGGTACACATCGGCAACGTCGCAGATTCCCGCCCGGCTGGGAAATATCGTACAAACACCAGGCGGCTCGCTGTCAGTCGCTTGAGAAATTTTTGTTTACAAATATAAATCTGTTTAAAAAACACCTTTGTTCGCATTATAAATCTGTCATATTGGTGTTATTTCTTGTGTCACGACAAACATGATGGTATTTCGAACGAAATCTTTAGCGTCATATTAACGATGTTAGCATACGTTTTAAAAATAAACAGCAGCATAAAAACTATTGTGAGTAAAAATTTTAAAATGCATGGAAATGTTAACAATTAACCTACCAATAAGCCATAAAAATTTCAGAAAGATTGGCTCAGTGGTTTTTTTTTTACAATTAAATTTTAAACTTCAGTGTTAGTGCAGAGTTTCTTAAAAACCGGTACTTTTTAGGATCTTTCAACTACATACATTTTTCTGGTAAACGGAATTTTTTTTAATTGTTACCACGTAAAATGTATTTAAACCAGCTTATATTTAATTTTTGTTTCAACAAAATCGGATAATTCATCTTAGAGATATTTAGGCTTAAACTCGAGAGCACGTATCTATTTCCTCGGCAGTAATTCTGTAATTAATTTTGTGTTTATAGCTTTAACAATCACAATCAATGAATGTTAAATTTATTATGAATAAATTTATAATTTATTAATGGCTGTCAATGTGTTCCAGGTCCAAATCATGCAAAAAGGATCTTTGGACCCAGATAAACTCAGCTCTACAAGCTAACAGCAAATGACAAAGGTCCGAGTTAGGTACTCTTCATTGTATCGACGGAAACTGGGTTTCGCCGGCAGAATCACCCAACCCGTGGACTAGTTAGACATCACACGAGCTGAAATATCACCAATACTAGCTTTTAGTTTTTCCCCACTACAGTAGTGCAGGCGCACCCTCAAATCTGCTCATTTTTTTCCGTTGTGCCTTTACTATTGTGTGTTAAAATTGGCACATACTTGAATATTTCGGGAACAAAAAAGTTAATTGTAAAAGGAAATATTTTTATTTATAATTTTAAAGTTTAATTTTTTTACATATAAATTCTTAACTAAGTTTTATAAATTTTAATTTAATCCAAATTTACATATTTATTTTATTTAACAACAAACTTAATATGTTGTGTTGTTTGCCAAATTCATTATTTTATTTGGTTTATTTTGATATTTTACTGTAGTTCAAAATATATGGTTGTGAAATCAACATTGTTAATTTTATGTCAAACAGAATGATTTCTTAATGAGTTATATTTATGTTTTAACAAATTGATGATTGAAACACAACAGATAGGATGTAAGATGTATATCTAGGATCAACCGAAAGTCTATGAAGTTGCATATTTCAGCTCAGTAGTTAGGTTCAACTTACTTTTGCTCATCTCTTACTTTAACTCTTCTCTTCTGTTACATATTGAGCTCAGGAAGCTTATTGTCATGTTTTGCAACTCTATTTTACCGTGGAGCTATGGTTATTGAGTGCATCGAGCACTGTATTTTCTCAATAAAGCTTTTTGTATGAAGTTTATGGCACTTTTGCCCTCTTCTTGCAGGGGCTGGTATTTAGCTGAATAGAATATAGCATACAGTACTTATTTTTGAACTGTCTAGTATATTTCAGTTTGTGGGGTATGTGGTATCGTGTAAAGTTATGTTCTAAAAAAATTTTAAAAAAATGGATTCATAGTGTTGATGGTGTTTTTCAAGTGAAAATTTTCTTTGAACAAAATTACCCGCTGATATTCAAGCCAGAAGTAATATGGATTGCTTTTAATGAAATACCAATTGTAACAAAGGTTGAGAAAATACAGTCAAATAGTTAAAAGAAATGAGAGCAAGTCTGAAATAGTTTCATTGTCTTTGTCAAATACGTTATTAGTAAATATACTCTTTTATTATTAATATATTTAGTTTTTATAAATCGTGCAGTAGATTTTTTAATTACTATCGTCACTCTAGGCTATCAATGAACGATATCTGTTATGTCAACGATAGATCACTAAGTATTCACTCTAATAAAACCTAAATCTGGGACTGATAAAGAGCAGATAACTATTATGGTTAGTTCCAGTTCAATTCAACTATATTTACTCGTCCATCTTGCAACTAATTGGAACTCTGTGATATTTCTTTCATGACGATTTCTTAATTTGTTTTCTGAGAATATCTGTTTTAGAATTAGACAAAAAAATTAAAATAAAGTATTGTCAAGGATTAATAATAGTTTGAATGAATTATACAATAAAAACAAGTGTACTGTTAAAAACAGTTAAATGAGTTATCCTCATCTTTATCAATCCCAGATTTCATTATATTTGTACTTGTTGGCGTCTGTTACAAGTTTTGTTGCACTATTTTAAGAATTTTATTTCATTTTATTACCTATTAAAATATTTATTGTAAAAGATATTTAAATCGAGCATGGCTCCTAATTTTATCTTAAGTACCGGTAGTTTAGATTGTATTCTGCCCGAAATAGAGACATTGTAGTGACAAATATAATTTTAATTTATTGTTAGGACTTTTTAATTACATATTTTTATATTATTGGTTTTGATGTTGTGTTAGTATTTTAAATGCTATAACTTAATTAGAACTGTTTATAGTTTTTAAGACGTTTTGATTTCAGTTTCTCTTGTTACATTTTTGAATTATACAGTTCTGCATAAAAGCAAACTACCCCATATGCCCATTTTGACTGTGGAAAATGATTTTATTTTATATAAAATACAGAATCAATCTCTGGCTATAATTTCAAGAGAAACATAACACTGTTATCCTAAACTTTATCCCTTTAAAAATTGAAACTGTTGTGTCCAAGCTTTGAGGTTTAGCTCATTCAGTCAGTTGCTCAAATTATAAGTTCTCATTACAGTTTGCTCAAGAGTTTGTTTATCCTTCCCCAAGTGAATCGTTCTTATTGGTGTTTATTTTTAGCGCACTCAGTTAACAAAAATACAGACAAATTTAAATTAAACAACTTTTATGGCCTGGTAAACATTTCTGTAAATAAGTCAACTCAACTATTTAAAAATGTTATGGAGTACTTAGTTCTTATTTTTTATGATAAAAGATTTTTGAAAATTACTTCAAATTACTTACTCACTGTATTTCCTGTTTAAGAGGCAGCCACAGCCATCTTTGAGACTCATACTACAGTTGAACAATTACAAACTGCAGCTTATGTATTTTAGGACTGAATGAAGGAGAATGAAATCTACTTTAAATACAGTAGACTCCCTCTTATCCGGACACCTCGGGACCGAGGACAGTCCGGATAACGGGTTTTCCGGTTAAACCGACTTCCGTAAAAACTCGTTAAAACGGACTATTTACTGTGATATTCGATTTAAATTTAGGAGAGCATTGTATTTAGAAACGTGATCACTGCTATCAGATCTTTCCCCACGAGAACAGTCGTTTCATTACTGCCCACTTCCTGCCGATCTAGTCCGGTTAAACCAATGTGCTGATAAAAATTGTCTGGTTAAAGAGATGTCATTTCCGCCGAGTGTATTCCAGTTAAACCGTTGTCCGGTTGAAAAGTGTTCGGATAAGAGGGAGTCTACTGAAGTCAGAATTTATTTATCAACCTACATATATATACAGGTGAGTTTTAATTGTCCCCCCCCCCCCCAACTTTGTTCTACATTTTTCCAAATATCAATCCCAGACCACTTACAAACATTGTTGGGCAGTAACTACTTCATTTTGACAAGATGGTCATTTCCGGCCACAACTTGGATTCGCCATATTGGATGCAAAATATTGTTTCAAATGTAAAGGTAGGGTTGTGACCCATTATTTCTAACTACATTTTTACCCTGATTACAATGCCACAAACCGTTTTTAAAAATCTTGATCCATTCCAAAGTAATGAGGGCTTTTTATAACTTTATTTTTAGCCCATTTTAACATTGTGCATTTACAAACTAAGACCATAATCTAAAAATAGTGCTAGATAAAGATAAGTATACACCACTACTCATTGTCAGCCTATTTTCACTTATTTGTGACAGATGTAATTTTTTCGGCCGCCATCTTGGATCCGCCATTTTGAAATGTAAAAAATTATTTTGAATATGAAGGGGGTGTTGTGACTCATAATTTTAATTACTTTTTTAAACCGAACTCAATTCCACAATCCGTTTTTCATTTTCATATTTTGATTTTGAAATATTGACATAAAAAAAATTGCAATATTTCCAAAAACAAAACTTGATAACAAAAAATGGATTGCAGCATTGAGTTTAGCTTAAAAATGTAATTCGAAATGATGGGTCACAACAGCCCAATATATATTTAAAATAATTGATTATATTTCAAAATGGCGACCGGAAAAATTACATCCGTCATAACCAAGTGAAAATAGGTCGACAATGACTGGTATTGTATACGTATCTTTATCTAGCACTATTTTGAGATTATGGTTTTTAGTTTGTTAATGCACAATGTTAAAATGGGCTAAAAATAAAGTTATAAAAAGCCCTCATTACTTTGGAATGGATCAAGATATTTAAAAACGGTTTGTGGCATTGTAATCAGGGTAAAAATGTAGTTAGAAATAATGGGTCACAACCCCACCTTTACATTTGAAACAATATTTTGCATCCAATATGGCGAATCCAAGATGGCGGCCGGAAATGACCATCTTGTCAAAATGAAGTACTTACTACCCAACAATGTTTGTAAGTGGTCTGGGATTGATATTTGAAAAAATGTAGAATAAAGTTGGGGGGGGGCGCAATTAAAACTCCCCCTGTATATTTAATATCTGGAGTAATCCCAGGTAGCGGCATCAATCTCAACAATCAACATTTTCCCAGTCTAAATTTTAAAAGTTAACTTTCATCTCGCTATTGTTTTATGAGTAGTTTCATTCTTTAATCAATATCACATAAATTGAGTTTCTTCCCATTTAGGGCCTTGTGATTCAATAGACCACTCTGACTGCCTCTTAACTTCAATGTTATAACAAATTTATCCTCACAAGTAATATTAAACACTTGCTAGTCTTACTTAGTAACCAAAAATATAAAAAATTCTAAAATGGTTAAAAAAATAAAATAGTTTGGAAAAAACTTATAATGGTTTTTATACTGTTTATTTTATCCAGTGCAATAAACAAAGATAATATATTGTTTAATGTTTTTTCATGGAAAGTTCATAAATACATTTCCAAACACAAAACTTATCCAAACTGGTATCTTAGAACGAGTGCAGGACACAGCGCCATAAGATATCCTAGAAACCTACCCTCTGCAACGAACAATAGGGTTCATGGATAGCTCTGAGTCTGTATAGGTTATTTTAAAAGGTTTGTGGCTTGTGGGTATGAGGGAAGTAGGTAAGGGGTGATAAGACATGAGGGAGTGTGTGACACAGCAAGCTGGGCATAAACTACAAATGGGATTAGGGCAACTTCCTAGAAGGACCTTAACACCAGAGCACTCATTCTTTGGGAGTACGAGGGGAAGGGTTTTGGCCAATGTAAGGCTAGAAATGTACATCAGTGGAATTTTCATCAGCTTAAAAGTAGATAAAATTATCAATAACTTAAAATATTGTACTTGATTAAATGTATTAGGTGGGTTTATTTCAATGTATAGGCTGGTTTCGTTGGGCAAAAAATGTTATATACAAACTGGTTTTATCCGATTTTAGCAAATTTTGAATTTCCCTAAGGGATATTAGCTATTGCCGTAGGGGGCACGGGAACGATATACTTTTTCATTTTAAGTCCCTAGAGGTCAAAAACACAATTTTTTTTCAAATTTTATATTATGTATTTATATATTTTACAGGGTGGAGAAAAAACAGCAGTAGAGTTAAATATTCGAAAAAGTAATAAAGATAGAGTTGCAAACTTGCTACACAGTTACTGGAGTTTAGAATCATTTTAACACATTCTATGAGTGTACATGTTGCATCATGTAGCTCTTAAACGAGTAGGTTTATAGCGAAAATGCTATATATAAATAAGTCTTAAAATTGCATCTACATTCCAAAAAGACCTTAAAATACGTAAAAATATTGATTCTAAAAAATATTGACGTAGAAAAATTGAAAAGTGGAAAACTGTATTTTATGGTCTTTTTGGAATGTAGATGCAATTTTAAGACTTATTTACATTTAGCATTTTCGCTATAAACCTACTCGTTTAGGAGCTACATGATGCAACATGTATACCGGAAGTAATTTTTTCATAGGCTGTAACTCCTAAACGAGTGGGTTTATGAAAAAAATGTCAAGAATAAATAGTTATTTGTGTAACTAGTGGTGAAAGTAGCACTTTGCTGCACACGAGAGCAATGTTTACGCACTCGCCTGCGGCTCGTGCGGAATGATCTCGAGTGCAGCAAAGGCCTTTTTCACTCGTGTTACACATGATATTTTCCCTACAGTCACTATAAAGCATATAAATAATTAGTCTTTCAAACACTATGCAACACGTTTTTAGGTTCAGCTGGCAACACAAATGGTGAACCCTAGAGAAAGTAGTACCCGCGGTCCGTATCACTCCGCTATTTTTCCTCGGCAAGAAATGTGCCCCGCGTTTTGAGAATATAGTTCCGTATGTTTTTGTAATTTGAAGTGGTTTCCGCACCTAAAAAAATTATTTAAAGGTATTTTCTTGTTTATTAAGATCTTGGGAATGTTTTAAAAACGTTTAAAAGAAAAGTCCAGAAAGTTCAGAAATACCGAAACTATAAACACGAAATGACAGATTAAATCGTAGTTATAATAGTCAATCATCTGCTCATAGTATTATTATCTTTAAGTGTTGCCAACCTATTTCCAAGCGTACACAGATTACGTGCATAATAGAACCACGCTGTTTTGTGTTGTTTCGTTGGAATCCTGATGTACGGCAAAGTATAAACCGTACGACAAAGTATAAACCGTACGGCAAAGTATAAATATGCAGCAATTAGCAGCTTTCTGTACTATAAACAGTACAAGGAAGCCAACTTTGTCGGGTGACTGTAGGAAAAAGGTTTTTAAATTGCATGTTAAATCACTGTCAAATATGGTAATAAAAAATCAAAAGAAGTATCAAATCTAACAAAATTTGTTTATTTAGTTTATTTGTTTTTTTTCTTTTTTTTCTAGGAATTGAACCTTGGATTTTGTAACAAAACAAGGTCTATTTGGTGTGGATTTTCGTAAACCGTTTTCACTTCCTCAGTCGTACATGCTTAAGATTAGAAGTAATTTAATAAGTATTTCTCAGAAGGTTTGGCTCTTATTTCTTTATCAATGCTTCCTGTAGCTACGACCTTGTCAACCATCCCACAACAATTTTTGGGAGATTCTGGGATTTATTGGGAAAATCAAGACAAGTTGAGGTCAGGTCCCTCCACAACAAACAATAGGGTGCCTTTATGGCGCTGTGTCGTTTCCCTCTTAGAACATGTATATATATATTTTTTAAATTAAAATACTTTTCACATTAAAATAACTCCTTTGACTGTTTATGGTTCACGATCAGTACTGAAAGTAAAAAATCCACAGAACATTCTGTTTGCCATTAATGTTTTAGAAATTAAGTTACATGTTCAATTATATACAAACTTCTTTGTTAACAATTCCACAAAATTTGAATGGCTGGATATTTGTTGTAGGTGGACAGTAAGTAATTTTTATTTACTCTGAATAGCCTACAAGTACTATTTTTACCTTAAACTGAGGCAGATAATGCATTGTTTTATATATTTCAGACTATATGGAGTATTGAAATTTTGATATTTGTAATCAGACTCGAGCCCACTTGAATTGATGCTATAGTGTAAGATATCAGTATGGTGTAAGTAAATCATACGAGTCACACTTTCGTTTGAGGAGTGTGAGTCTAGCCTTTTGATATGCTTCCAGTGAT